TGGCTATTATGAACATGCGTGTACAAATATCTGAGACTCTGCTTTCATCTCTTTTGGACACATATCTTGAAGTAGAAATTTTGGATCTATTTTTTGAAAAATTGTCATACTGTAGATGGAGTTTTCATAAACATTCCCATTTTACTTTCCCACTAGCAATGTGTGGGGTGGAAACTCTTTCTAAAGAACAGTTAACATGGAACAGAGTTTGAGAAACACAATCTAGTCCAAATCCATCATTGTGCAAATGAAGAAATGGAAGCCTAAGAAATAAAGGACAAGTGTGATGTGGTGAGTCAACCAGGGGCTCAGAAGGACACATGGGCCACTTAGTTGAAATTTTGGAGAGAGTTTAATGTAGGAATTACTTACAGAGTTGTGGGTGGTATTCAGGGAAACCGCAAGAAGTAGGAAGAAACTAGGAAGAACAGTGAGAAGCAATTACCACCCCTATACCTAAGAGTAAATTTAACTAAGGGGTAAAAGACCTGTCCTCAGAAAATTCCAAGATCCTGAAGAAAGAAGTTGAAGATAAAAATAAATGGAAGCATATACTGTGTTCATGGATAGGAAGAATTAACATCATTGTAATGTCCACACTACCCAAAGCAATCTATAGATTCAATGCAATGTCTATCAATATACCAATGGAATATTTCCTAAAACAAATAATCCAAAATTTATATGGAACCACAAAAGGCCCAAATAGCCATAGCAATCTTGAGAAAGAAAAAACAAAGTTGGAGATATCATGCTACCTGATATCAAACTATACTACAAGGCCATAGTAATCAAAACAACATGGTACTAGCATATAGATAAATTGAACAAAATAGAGAGCCCAGGAATAAATACATGCCTTTATGGTCAATTAATATTTGACAAAGGAGGCAAAAACATACAATGGAGTAAGGATAGTCTCTTCAATAAATGGTATTGGGAAAATTGGACAGGTGCATGAAAAAAAAATGAAACTAGGCCACCAACTTACACAGTACAAAGGATAAACTCAAAATGGATTAAAAACTTAAATGCAAGTCACAAAACCAAAAAAATCCTAGAAGAAAACATAGGCAGTAAAATCTCAGACATTTCTCATAGGAATAGTTTTTCTTTTTTTGAAACATATTTTTATTTATTTTAGATTGAGAGAGGGAGAGGGAGAGAGAGAAAAACATTGATGAGACAGAAAACTATCCATAGGCTGCCACGCACCCCTACTGGTGAACAAGTCCTTGAACCAATGACCTTTTGGTGCGTGGGATGATGACCCACACTGACCAGTTCTCTCATAGCAATATTTTTGCCGATATATCTCCTTTGGCAAGGGTACAAAGGAAAAAATAAATAAATGGGACTACATCAAACTAAAAAGCTTTTGCACAGCAAAAGAAACCGTCAACAAAATGAAAAGGAAATCCACTGAATGGGAGAATATATTTGCCAATGCTACATCTGACAAAGGGTTAATATCTAAAATACATATAGGTATTATACAACTCAACACCAAGAAAACAAACAATCCAATTTAAAAATGAGCCAAGGGCCTGGATAGACACTTCTTCAAACAGATGGTCAAAAGACATATGAAAAGATGCTCAATGTCACTAATCGTCAGAGAGATGCAAATTAAAACCACAGTTAGATACCACCTCATGCCTGTCAGGATGGCTGTCAACAAATCAGTAAACAAGTGCTGCTGAGGATGTGGAGAAAAGGGAAGCCTTGTGCACTGCTGGTGGGAATGCAGACTGGTGCAGCCACTCTGGAAAACAGTATGGAGTTTCCCCCCAAAATTAAAAATGGGACTGCTTTTTGATCCAGTGATTCCACTTCTGGAATATATCCAAAGAAACCGGAAACACTAATTTGAAAGAATATATGCACATTTATAATCATTGCATTGGTATTTACAACCATGATATGTCAACAACCCACGTGCCCATCTGTAGATGAGTAGATAAAAAAGCTGTGGAATAGTACTTGGCCCTAAGAAAGAAGGAAATCTTACCTTTTGTGACAGCATGGAGGGATTTGGAGAATATTATGCTAAGTGCAATAAGCCAGTCAGAGAAAGACAAATAACATATGATCTCACTTATATGTGGAATCTAATGAACACAATGATTTAACAAACAAAACAGAAACAGAGGCATCGATAGATAGAACAGAATGACAGCTGTCAGAAGAAAGTGGGGTTGAGGGGCTAGGTGAAAAAAAGGTGAAGGGTTTACGCAAAGAAGAAAAAGAAAAAATACATATATAAATTCATAACATAGACAATAGTATGGTGATAGCCAGAGGGAAAGGGGGTGGAAGGAGGTGGTGGTAGAAGGCAAAGGGGGGAGTAAATGGGGAGAGAAAAAGACTACTTACCATTTGCAATAGCATGGATGGAACTGGAGAGCATTATGCTAAGTGAAATAAGCCAGTCAATGAAAGAAAAATACCACATGATCTCACTCACTTATGGATAATAAAGACCATTATAAACTGATGAACAAAAATAGATACAGAGGCAGAGCAGCATCGAACAGACTGTCAAACTACAGCGGGAAGGCCGGGGAGGGTTGGGGGGGCAGGGGTAAGAGATCAACGGAACGACTTGTATGCATGCATATAAGCATAACCAATGGACACAAGACACTGGGGGGTAGGGGAGGCCGGGGGAATGTCAAGGGGCGGGGGGGGGGGGGGAGGAGACATATGTAATACTGTTTGTAATACTTTAAGCCAGGGGTCCTCAAACTACCGCCCGTGGGCCACATGCAAATACAAATATTGTATTTGTTCCCGTTTTGTTTTTTTACTTCAAAATAAGATATGTGCAGTGTGCATAGGAATTTGTTCATAGTTTTTTTTTTTAAACTATAGTCGGGCCCTCCAACGGTCTGAGGGACAGTGAACTGGCCCCCTGTTTAAAAAGTTTGAGGACCCCTGCTTTAAGCAATAAAACAAAATTTTAAAAGAAGACTACTTTGGGTGATGGGCACATGTTGCAGGGTGGGAGATGTTTTGTTGAGTTGTGCACTTGAAATCTGTATGGTTTCAAAAAAGAGGCAACACCCAGAGGAAGAGACACACCTGAGCTGGATGCTAGATGGTGAGGTCCCAGTAAAAATTGCATTGCAATCTATACAGAAATCCTGGAGCATGTGAAGTTGAAAGACTGTGCATATATGCACTTATTAGGCACTGAGAATATGTACATGAGCCATTGCAATGTTTGGTATCAGGATAAGCTGCTGGTCATCTTTTTGTAAACTAAACCTTCTGTTTTCAGACTTTTACTGAGAATCCAAACCTTAGGGCAGGTTTCCTGCATCTGGGATGGAAAATGAACTGGATACCGGGACCATTGTTTCCAGGTGAAATCACCTGTGTTTTATTATTTTTAATACTGTTTTCATTGATTATTTTTTTTTTAGAGAGTGAGGAAGGGAGAGGGAGATAAACATCAATATGAGAGAGAAACATCGATTTGTTGCCTTCCCTACGCTCCCCAACCAGAGATTGAACCTGCAATCTGAGTATGTGCCCTGACTGAGAATTGAACCAGCGACTTTTCAGTGCAGGGGACAACTATCAACCAACTGAGCCACACTGGCCAAGGCACCTGTGTTTTATTTTTGAAGCTGCAGAGATTTGACTTTTTTCCCTGCTTCTTTTGTTGTTGTCATTCCTTAATTACTCAAAGATGAACATTAGAGTTTGGGTAAATTCTGAGTTCCCATTTTTAAATCAGGATAATCACTACAGAAGTAGGGGTGCATCCCACAGCATCCCAGAATGTGCGAGAAATGTTTCAGGACCTAGATGTCAAGTGATGTAAGTCTTTGATACCGTCATTTTTTAAGAACTGAGCCCTGATTCAGGCGGGCCTGAGGAAAAATGAGAGAAGCAATGCACTCAAGAGACGCTTATTGATTAATTGAATGGGGTGGAGGAGAGGAGCTGAAAGGAACCTGAGGTCATAAGCCAGTGTGTGAGAAGAACCACCCAACTCCAGACATGAATTGGGCAGTTTATCCAGCACCCCAATGAAGATCTATGGAGTGACCCTGAAGGTCAAAGCCTTCTTACAGAGTGACCTATGGGAATTACTAATGTCCCATCTGCTCATTTTTCGAATCTATAAAATGGGGATAATGACACCTCCCATACAGCTTTAAAGAAAGAATCAAATTCTGGTATGTACTTAAGGCAGTTAGGACCATGCCTGACACATAGTAAGCTCTCAACAAGTAGATGTTTACTATAATCATCATGACATCATTTATTCTGCAAATGAGCCAGGGAGGTGCATCCTTCTCCACTCAGCACATTTAAAAGCAAAGCTCCATTACATGAAACCCTTCTTCAGAGTTATGCCTCTAGTGGGTGACAATATTGACACAGGCCCCATGCATGTCGAATCCTCAAATGGGTGTCCCTCAAGGGGAGCCTATGGCAAGGAGGGGGAAACTGGATACTGTGGCTTCCTGCAGGGAAAGCAAGCTCTGATTTGAAATGGTGTATCATAGAAAAAATGTTGGGATGCCAGTGATACTGGGCTACAAATGTGAGCCTCTGAAGGACCCAGATCACAGAGCATTTCTTCAGCGAGTGTTTATTAGGTCCAATAAAGTGCCAAGGGGTGCTGGTATGAGGTGGCAAAGGGGAGTAAACGGGAGGCAGACACAGGAGGCTGTGTGATAGGCCTGTCTGCAGGAGCACTGGGGAGGGTTGTCCACCCACCTGGGTGGGATGGGAGTCGGCACTGGCTCTGAGAGGAAGCACTGCATCTTGTGTTCAAGGAAAAACTAGGTGCCATGCTTTGTGGGTAGCCAACAACCAGTAAATGGATTGATAACCTAGCTAGGCTTTGGGGGTCAGTTATCTGAAGGTAGTGTGTGTGCGATTCTTTGTAAGGAGGATAGCAGAACCCTGCGCATCAGAATACAGTTCTGCCTCAGGAACAGTCTATGGCTGTAAATAATGAGGTTTATTTTCACATACAGTTCCGGATGTGCTCATTGAAGAGAGCTGTGCCCTTTTCCAACCGTATCCCGGGAGGCCACACTTTTGTTCCAGCGATATTGCCTTCATCCCACGCGTCTCCTGCACTCTTCATTGTCAGGTGAAGGGCGTTGGTGTTCATGAGCCCACTAGGAAATCCAAGGCCTTATGTTACATTCACACTTTGTTTTGACCACAAATATGATTACCTGGGCTGGCCATACTCTTGATTCACATATTTTGCCTCCAGAGGGTTTTTGTCCACTGCCCCAAACCAAATCACCCTCCGAGGACCTCATTTGCCACGTTTGAAGTTGGCAGAAAAGACAAAGTTCTGGCTTTGAAAGCATTTCCAAGGGACAATAGCAATATCACAGAAACCCTTTATTAAGGGGTCCCGAGAGGCGTTGGCTTGCATTTGGCCCTAGAAAAACCCAGTCAGGTATGAGGACTCCTTAATTTCCTGAAAAGAGGTGAGATCAGAACAACCTGGAAGGGGGACGTTTCTCATTCTCTGCCTTCACTCTGAGACTCCAGACATCCAGGTGTGATGCAGCAATAGCATTTACATAGAGCTTGAAAGAAAAACAAAATCAAACTAAGCATAAAAAGAACACGTATAATTTTAGTGCCTGTGCATAGTTGTACAAGGGGAAGTCTTCCCTAGTAAGAGCACCAGGCTAAAACTCACACAGTCATATCAGCTACTCCTCCTGTTGGGGGCATCTCAAAGTTAGGAATTAGGCATGCATCTGATGATACCCACCTGTGCAAAACTCTGAGGAAGTTTTCTGTATTTCCATGTGCAAGCTCAAGGTTCAAGTGTAGTCACCTTCTCTCTCCCCACCATTAGTTTAGGTGGCCCAGGTGCCAGAATGAATCTGATTACATACTTGGGACTTAAAGAAAGGGGGAAGACACATGTGCAGGCCATTTTGAATGAAGCAAACTTCCCACCTGTAATGCATGCCCACTAGTAATTTACACTCTGACCTTAGATTAGCTTCCTTGTGGGAGACCATAAGGCAGAGGTTCTCAACCTTGGCTGCACATTAGAATCACCTGGGAATCTTTTTAAAATCCTGATTTCTGGGCCTCATCCTCCAGAAATTCTGTTTCTTTGTTATGGGGTGAGGCCACAACATTAGTAACAAAGAAACAGGATTTCCAGAGGATGAGGCCCAGAAATCAGGATTTTAAAAAGATTCCCAGGTGATTCTAATGTGCAGCCAAGGTTGAGAACCAGTGCAATAAGGGTAATGAGCAGAGAACAGAAGGAAACATGTGAACGAGGTATGGATGCTCCTCTAGATCCAAGGATTAAGGAAAAATAAGGCTGAGTGGCTACATTCATATGCCACGCCAGCACGGCCAAGGGTGAACCTGAGTGGGACGGCTGAAAGGCTTAGAAAAGACAGACAAGAGAATGAAAGCTGGGTCTCCTTGGGACGCTGCTTCTCTGAGAGACAGTGACAATGCCCACAAGCCATGTTTTTATTTTATAGCAGATGCCACGAGGCAAAGTAAGGGCGAGATCAAGATGTTTACAACATTCTCATGGGTTTCAATCCTACTCAACTACATGCACCTGAACTCTATCAAGCCTACATCACTCAGGCACATGGGGCCACGTGTTTGGACCATAGGTTCAAGCTTACAACTACAGCTGTTGGCTATAATTGTGCTGGGAGGGCCCTGCCCTCCAAGCTGGGACTTGCACGTGGCAATGAGAGGACTATGCCCTCTCATCAGTCCAAGGCTTGAACCTGTCCAAAACACTGTAGCTGCTCCCCACACATTCATAATAAAAACAAAACAAGACCTAGTAGAAGAGAGACCAGATGGGGTTTAAAAACAATGCAGCTCATTTGTTATGGTTTGGATACTTACTGATTCAAAGCAGGAGATACTAGTATATATGAGAACTATCAGTAGTGGATCCTTACTCAAGATGCTTAGAATGTAGGTGGGAAGACAGTGCATCCTATATAATAAAAGGCTAATATGCAAGTCGACCGAACGGTGGAACAACCGGTCGCTATGATGAGCACTGACCACCAGGGGGCAGACGCTCAATGCAGGAGTTGTCCCCTGGTGGTCAGTGGGCTCCCATAGGGGGAGTGCTGCGCAGCCAGAAGCCCTGAGCTGGGCTCACAGCTGGCAAGTGCAGCGGTAGTGGTGGGAGCCTCTCCCGCCTCCGCGGCATCACTAAGGATATCTGACTGCTGGCCTAAGCCGTCAGTCGGACATCCCCCAAGGGCTCCTGGTCTGTGAGAGGGTGCAGGCCAGGCTGAGGGACCCCCACCCTGAGTGCACACATTTTGTGCACCAGGCCTCTAGTAATTGCAGAAAATTTCTGAACATGTTTGAGCTAGTGAGTGGTTGAGACAACAGGGTGGACAGAGACAACTCTGGAAGAAGGGCCATCTCGGTTCCATATGGATGGCGGGCAGGTCTGAATGCTCAGTTCCTGCCATCAGGCATCCTCCCCCTGGCATCACGGTGCCTGGGAGTCAGCTGGCCAGCTGCTGTACTTGTACAGAGCTGCTCCCTCTATGCAGATTGTGTTTAATTAAGACCAGATAAAAGGGCTTCTTTCTTCTGACTCTTGCTCCCATGTGGAGTTGAAAGGAATCAAACATCTAGGTCAGCCACACTCTCTGGCCCTGGAAGGGAGTGCTGTTATTAGAGGTCCCTCTGAGACAGGGTTGAGGGGCAGTGGTCTGGGCCCTGTGCTTTGCTTCCCCCACTCCCCACCCCCATCTCCCGGTCTATTTATGAGACCACCTGCTCGCACTGGAGGGAATCTCACAGTTTTTCTGCAGTGATGGGGCAAAATGCAATTACCAATGGGCAGGCATGTTCCTTTTCAGGTTCCTGGAGGAGACAGCTGTTTAAGATGCATTTTCATTTTTACTGATACAGTTTAATCGATTAGGAGGATGCTTTCATGTCCTTGGAAGTAAACATCAGTCCTTAAAACTCATGAATCCAGTAGCTGGGGGAGGGAGGGACTGAGACTCCCTCCCTCCCCCAAGACGTGGCTGGGAGGAGCATTTTGTGGCTGGCGAGGAATCTTTATCCACACCCTCGCTGCACCCCTGAGCTTGTGCAGGAACCTGGAGCCAAGATTATCAGAGCTGAGAAGAGACTTTTCTGTAACCGCCAGGAACCAGGCCACATTCCCTTGATGACCACATGATACCAGACCCTTTAATTTCCCCTCCAATCTTTTCTAATTTTTTTTTAGCAATAGATTATAAACCCTATCTCATCAATGTATAAAACAGAACTGCTTCACAATGTTGGCTGAAAGGACCCAAGCCCTGCTCTCCCCACCCCATCACTCCTCACGTCCCATCCCACTCCCACACCCACCCTGACGAGGCAGCTTCAGGAACAGTGAAACCTGGAGAGCATAGTTTGAAAACCACTGCCTTCATGCTCAGGGATTGTAGACTAGTGATTTTTAAGGTCTTTTCCAACTTGGCTGTTCTCTGATTCTCTGTGGCAGAGTCAGGCAGCTCTCCCAAGCCATCTGCCCACAGAGTAAAGCCAGGCCTCGCCCCCAAGCCTGGTTGCTCTGCTGCATCTCCTTTCTCTGAAATCGCAGCTGCCCTTCCTGCAGTCGTGGGATCCACCTGGTACCATCTGCCTTGCTGAATTCACCACCAGGTCCTCTAGGTCCTGGCTACTCAAAGTGTGGTCCGATGACCGCCAGTATGGGCGTCACCTGGGCATGGGATACAATGCAGAATCTCTGGCCCCACCCCAAATCTAGTGAATCAAAATCTGCATTGTGTTATTAACACCATCCCCTGAAAACACGTGCTCACGTTACACTGCGAGAAGCAAGCGCTTTCAGCAATATCGACTTTCCCTCTCTACTGCCCACGCACCCATGGGCTCTGCCTGCGGTGCTGCAGCCGCCTTACCTCCGGGTGGGACAACACTCAGGTGAATTCACAGTCCAGTCAGAGTCCTCCAAGGGATGAGGCTAAGGCTGGAACCCCCAGATTCTATCCTAACCACCCACCCATGCACCCCACAGCGTGCTCCAACAACGCTGACCTTCTTCCAGGTGAGAGACACCTGTTTTCTCTCTTTGGAAGGATAACTAAGATCTCAGCTGAGAGTTCACCGCCTCGCTGCAGCGTCCTCTGACCCAGGTCAGATCATATCCCCTACCTGTGTGAGCTCGAAGCACCCTTTCCTGTGATAGCTATTATCACAATGTATATTATACATTTATTTGTAAGTTTGATTAACATCTCTCTCTCTACTAGTCTCTAATGTCCACCCCAGGGCCGAACTCAGTGTCTGACACATCATGGATGGCCTCATAGGCATTGTAGAAAAATTGCAAGACATCCTCCAGCGGGAGCAGGTGGTCTGGTGAATACACCAGGGGATGGGAGTGGTGGCAAAGCAGCAGGCATTAAACTGAGTGAAAGAAGCCTGGTACAAAGGACCAGATGCTGTCTGATTCCATTAAATGAAATTTCTGGAAAAAGCAAACGAAAGAGACAGAAAACAGATCATTGGTTGCCTACAGACGGGGTAGAAATAAGGACGAGCTGCAAACTTTCTGGGGTGATGGGTGTGTTCTAAAACTGGACTGTGGTGGCCTGGCCAATGTGGCTCAATGGTTGTGTCGACCTATGAACTAGGGGGTCACAGTTCAATTCCTGGTCAGGGCACAGGCCAGGGTTATGGGCTCAATCTCTAGTGTAGGGTGTGCAGGAGGCAGCTGATCAATGATTCTCTCTAATCATTAGTCTAGAGAGTTATTCTTCCTCTGTGAAATCAATAAAAAGTATATATATTTTTTTATTTATTAATCTTTATTTTTCGGGTATTTATTTATTGAATACATACACATTACTAAGGTCTTGGGGAGTCATAAAGGATAATTAGGTTATAACCTTTTTTATTTTTATTTTTTTAATTTAAATTGTATTACATAAGTTTCCTCCCCCCCCCCCCCATTAACCTCTTCCCGGCTGCCCCCAACCCCCAGCACATGCCCTCATCCCCCACTCCCACCTGTGTCCATTGGTTATGCTCATATGCATACAAGTCCTTTGGTTAATCTTTTACCCTCTCGCCCCCCCCCACCTT